AATAAAAAAAAATGAAATTAGCCCGGTCTGATATTTACATTTTAGGTCCTATCTTATTATTATAGCTAGAATATCTATGCTTTAAAATTAATGATGAATTTAAAAATATGATATCCTAAAATTTTAGGAGCCCTGTGCGGTTGACCACTTTGCACACCCTCCGAGCCACTTAAACCATGTGGGATAACTGTTTGTGCGCAAATTATCCCGCCTCTTAAAGAAACATTCAAATGCCACTAATATATTCGAATGTTTAAGATTTGCTAGAAATTTAGACATTCGAATGTGACAATTCCACATTCAAATGTGTACATCAAAATTTTAGAAAGCTAGAAAACATTAATTCTACGATTTACAAACGTGGTATGGTAGGTGGTCCATGTCATATTATGATACTGAGTTTAGTTCAATGTCAAATATAGAATACGTATTATTTTGCAGTACAATTTTTACTAAAGGAGGAAGGTTTTAATAATATTATGTCCCTTTTTAACTTTCCATCTACTCTATTTGTCTGAAAATGTTCTTCATATTTTCCTTTTTGATCCTCCGAAAATGTTATTCTTGTTTCCTTTTCTGTATACTTTTTAAGGACATATTTCGATAATACCTTTTTATTTTATCGCGAATCTACTTTCTATTGCTTTTTTAATAAGAAGAGAAAATTTAAAGGCTTATAATATGTGCATTTTTGAAAACTCGGCATTTTTTACTACTCTTTAATAAACATGTCAAGTCAATAAAAGAAGAACATTCGAGAGGGAGTAGTTTTCTACTATATAATTTTTTTAAAAAAATTAATTTACTCACACAATGAAATACATTGAATTAATTTCTCAAAAAAATGAAGTAAAAACAAAGTCGGTCAAGTTTCGTAATGCGTAATGGGAAGATCTAGGGGAATGGGGGGAGTTATTAATTAATCAGAATGAGATACTCCTTCAGTCCAAAATAAGAACATTTCTTGTTTGAATTGAAAAGACGTGCCTTAAAATGATTTTAGTGTTTTTTACTTTTTTTAATTTACCCTTACTTTATAATATGGCAGAATATGATGTGTAGAATAGATTACTCATTATTATAAAATACTCTCTCCGTCCCACTATATTTGTCCACTTTCATTTTTACACATCATCCAATGCACTTCTTTAATTCATTTTATCTTGTAATTTGTATATCAAAAAATTATACTCCCTCCGTCCTAAAACTATCTTCCCGTTTGTGTTTACGAGGTTTGACCGACTTTATTTTCAATTCAATTTATTTGATTGTATAAAAAATAAAATTTATATATTTAAAAACTACATCAAAAGTTCTACAAAACAAGAGGCGACAAGACTATATTATTTTATCAAATTGCTAACGAAAATAGGTAAAGAAAGTGATTTAAGTTTGACCGTGTGAATAGTAACTGGGAAGATAGTTTTAGGACGGAGGGAGTATAAATTATATATTAATAATCTATATGTAAAGACAAATCAAATAAGATTACACATGACTATATTTAGGCTTACACATTGAGAGAATTTGATGAGTCAAAGTGCTTAGATGAACAGTTCCAAAAGTCAAAAGTGGACGAATATAGCGGGACGGAGGTAGTAACACCGAAGTTATACTCCCTCCGTCTAAAAAAGATTTACACGTTTCAAAAAAATTGCGTCCCACAATCCCTTATCCATTTCTATTAAAAACCACTTTTACCCCTTACTTTTTTAAACCCTACATATCACATCATACCTTTTTCCTAATAATCTACACATCACATCCTACTTTTACCCATCACATCAAGGGTATTTTTGGAAAGTCAACACAAAATTATCACTCCCTTAATTTCAACTTTAGTCAAAATGGGTAACACTTTATGGGACGGAGAGAGTAGTATATTTCTAAGGGGCGCTTTTTTTCAAACAGGAAAGATTTTTTTAGAAGAGAGAGAGTACATAATAAAAGATCAATATGCACCATAATGTTAATTACTACTCCCTTGGTCCCCAATTCCCCATTAGTCATTTTTATTTGTTCATCATCGATTCATAGATTTTCCCATCACCTTTTTAACATTTAAAATAATACAATTACACCACTTAGTTTATTTTTTTACACTTCATCCACAATATTTAATATACTCCACTCATTTTTATTACGATCATTTTGGTAAACTTTCACATTTTTCATCTCTTAAAAACCATAAAAAAGTCAAAACGAGAGCATCTTTGGAGGACAGAAGAAGTAATATATTGTAATTAAATACTCCCTCCGTTTCTTAAAACCCTTCTTATTTCATTTTTTTTGTTTTTTTTAAAACACTTCCCTTTCTATTAAAAAACCACTTTTACCCCTACTTTTTCATACCCTACCTATCACATCATACTTTTTCACTAACAATTAAACTATCACATCTTACTTTTACCCATTACATCAAGGGCAAAATTGGAAAGTCAACTACAATTTAACACTTCCTTATTTTCCCCCAAAGTCAAAAGAGGAGCTCTTTTGAGAAACGGAGGTAGTATCATATATGACGACCACATTATAACCAGCATCTAGCTAGGGCATGCCCGTTGATTAATTTGTAGCATTAAGATTCTGTTTTGTATTAAGATGGATCATATATATATATATATATACGACCGGGGAATGTTTGTATTTTGTGTGTGACAAGAAATCTAGGATCATCGATAATTGTTGGGACAAATCCTGACAATCTTGTGTTTTGCAATTACATTAACCGTAACTAATACGTACCAGACAACATGTTCACGATGTTGTTAATTATTCTAGCTACTACAGTACTACCCCTAATTTTAATTAGGAATAACCATGATTGAATTGGCGTCATCTTCGGATAAAAATAAATTGGAGTTATATATTGATACTACGCCCCCTTTATTACAGTAGGTCCGATTGGAAAATTTTAGCCATATGAGCTTTAGGCTCCGGCACTTTGGTGCTTAAATATCAATAGGGTCTTATATATAGTGACTAGAATTGTTCTTCAAATTAAATAAAAATAATATTAGATATTGATACAAATTTTTTTATTTGATTTATTATATACAATATAATATATAATATAATTAATATATAATATATATTTAATTAATATATAATATAATATATAATTAATATAATATATATTTTATTATCTAATTAATATATAATATATATTTTATTTAACTATGCGGCTAAAAGTAATTAACTCAAAAAAGTCAAAATTGCACAAATATTGAAGGACAACGTTAATACGGAGTATGTTTTAATAAGTGAGACGGCATTTTTTATGTATGCAAAAAAAAAATGATTAACATGATATGGATGAATGTAATTGGTAAATCAATTCTGAAATTTAACGTAGGAAAATGTTTAGAAAACGGCTAAAATCCACCATTGGTCCTTCAACTTTATCAGTTGTGCACGATTGGTCCTTCAAGTTTCAAAAGTCCATAAATAGTCCTTCAACTTTATGAGTTTTGCACCATTGGTCCTTCAAGTTTCAAAAGTCCATAAGTAGTCATTCAGGTACACGTCAGCCCTCCATATGAAGTCTTTTTGACCGTAAATATTAAAAGTTAAACGAAATACTAGTTTCATATAATACGAGTAAATTCCACTAGGTACGACTACTCCGTATTATATGGAGCTAGTATTCCATTTAGCTTTTAACATTTACTGTCAAAAGGATCTCATCTGGAGGGCTGACGTGTACTTGAAGGACTATTTATGCACTTTTAAAACTTGAAGGACCAATCGTGCATAACTCATAAAGTTGAAGGACTATTTATAGACTTTTAAAACTTGAAGGACCAATCGTGCACAATTGATAAAGTTGAAGGACCAATTCAATGATGGAGTTTAGCCTTAGAAAACCCCATTTGGGGTATACTGGGGCAAAAATATGAACACACAAACACTTAATGTATGTGCCGCACGAACATTGAATGTATGTGTATTGGGGTTCCCCTAGTACTCCCCTTGAATATATTACATCCGTTCGTAAACACTTGTCTATAATAATATACAATGAATAACTCCCCCGTCCCTTAAACTCATTCACCTTTATTTTTTTTCTTGTCTCACTAACTCCTTCCTTTATCCATTAAAAACTACATTTATCCTTTAGTTTTTCATACCCTACATATCACATTATACCTTTTTACTAATAATCTATCTATCACATTTTACTTTTGCTCATCACATTAAGGGTATTATTGGAAAGTCAATACCAAAATATCCCTCCCTTAATTTCCCAAAAAGTCAATTAGGGAAACCCTTTCGGGGACGGAGGGAGTATTATACTTCATAATACTTGCATTTAAAAATCGTCACTTTAGATTTTTTAGTCAAGTTTAATTTAACCAATTTTTATTATAAATTATGAAAAATACGAGTATTTAGTTGTAATGTTAATTTATGTACTTTCTCCGTTTACCAAAACCTTTCTTTTTTTATTTGTCACCAAATCACTCTCACTTTCTATTAAAAAATAATTTTTACCCTTACTAACTTTTTTCTTACCTATCACATCCTACTTTTTATAAATAATCTACCCAGTACACCTTATTTTTACTAATCACATCAAGGACAAAATTAAAAAGTCAACTCGAAATAGTCCTTCGTTATTTTCGTCCAAAGTCAATATAAGTTTTTCTAAATGGATGGGGCTAGTAATTAGATTCATTTTATGATTTATTTTTTATATATCAAATTTTCATCACATTTACGGAGTATTAAATTTAAAAAGAAGGGAGCTGAGGGAGCTCACTATTAACTCCATGTAATCAGACTTACCAATATAATTGAAGTACGTACGTACTATATACCCGATCGACTATTAAATTTTTTATGCCAAAATTAAAGATTATTGTTACCAACACAAACAGAAAATTAAAGGAGTCACATTGAATTGATCGAAAAGCATTCGGTCTTCTCTTTTAATTCAAATAATGTTCAGTTCATAACTTCATATACATCTCACTCTACAATAATCTAACCATTCAAATGGAAAACGTAACAATTAATTGTGACACTACTGAAACTGTACAGTCGTCTCAGAATGTCACAAAAAAAAAGAGTGAGAGCAAATTTGCTGAATCAATCTGCACCATCTGCACCATGAGCTATGTACACTTCTATAAGTCGTCTGTCAAGAAACCAACCCAACCAAAAAACTCAAACGCATTGTGGTTATGGGTTCAGAAAAATGTTTTAGGCTTGAATCACTGGTCTCGGGGTCGACCTGACCCGGAAAAAATGCTCCTCCCCGGTGCACTTATCTACCTTCACAACGAAACGCCCTCTCTTCTCCATCCCCACCACACCACTCTTCTTATTAGCACTGGCAATTCTTGTCATCAACAACCCTTCGCCTATCGGCAACAGGCTGATCCTCAAACCGCCACTACTCCTCCACGACCGCTTCCCGAAAGCGTTGTAACCCAACACCACCGTGTTGCACGGTCGTCCGCTCCATTGAACGGACTTGAAGATCCCCTCGTGGTTCTCGAGGTTGCAGTCGATGGCCACAAAGTCTGCCTCTCTGTAGTCCCCCGACAGAAGCTCCTCGGCGTCCCCCACGACGAACTCGACGACGCTCGAGTCTAGGGACGCTCTAGAAGCTTCTAGAAGGCCATCCTCAGGGAGGATGCAGACGACGCGGCCTCCTGTCTGGTGGGACGCCGCGGCCAGGGCGAGCGTGATCGAGTCTGCATGGCTCGAGCACGCCACCACGGTGCAGCGGGCGTTGTTCCCCGCTGCCAGAGCGGAGACGAACTCCGCCCCGTTTGCGTCTTCTCCCCTCGCCATGTTCATCGTCCTGATATACGCTTGAGTGGCATTCTCAGCTGACCATGAGCTCATCTTTGTTGCCATTTTTAAGTTCTTTCTTTTAAATAAAGTTGAATAATGCTTAGATGAGAGTGAGTTATAAGTGAGTGTGTTTGACGAGTGAGTGAGTGAGTGATTCAAATAAAGCCAGAAGAGGTTTATATATAGACTATAAGGGATGAGGGTATGAATTGAGAGACAATATATCCAACTGGATTTGGTTATATATATATATATATATATATATATATATATATATATATATATATACATACAGATCAGTAAGACATTGAATTGAAGAAGAGCGAGGAACAAGATGAACATGGCATGTTTTTACCATGTTCATGATCGATCGAATATATATTGTCAGAGCTTTTAATTGCTTATGTATGTATTGATTCAGTTTTTGTTCGTTGAAACTGTTATGGTGCAGTGTTTGATTATACTATGAATGAATTCTGAATATAATAATGGAGCAGCTGAGCTAGTACTGGCCTGTGAAATAATATTTAAAAAAAATGTTGTCCGTACTTATTAGCTGTAATGTTGTGTTTTGAAGAGACACCATGCAACGTTTATTCATTTAATTATGTTAAGGGCACCGCATTAAATTTTAGGGTTTTTTTGGTAGTTAAAACAAAACTGGATGGGCACAAATTACAAAATCAGGTTTATTTTAGTACCACCCATGTACTCCTTCCATTCGGATAAACTATTCCTATTTTGATTTTTAGTCAAAATAAAAAATGTATATTAATGATTGACTTTTTAATTTTGTACTTAATGTGATGAGTAAAATAAGATGTGATGGTTAGATTATTAGTCGAAAAATATGATGTGATAGGTAGGGTAAGAAAAAGTAGAAGTAAAAATAGTTTTTTAATAGAAAGTTAAAGTGTTTTGGAAAAAGTGAAAAAATGAAAGAGGAAGTATTTTAATAAACATAGGGAGTATCTACCTCAGATCTCTCTTATTAGTTACTATTAGATACTCTCTTCTTCTCACAAAACCTTTCTAATTTTAATTTTTAAAAGATTTAAAGAGAATGTATATTAGTGTAGACTTTCCAAAATTGTCCTTGGATGTGACAAGTGGATTACACATAAACAAGCTAACTAAGGAGTAAAACTTTTGTGAGATACCTAAGGATAAATTTGTACAAGTTCAACTCAAAAGAAATTATGTGATGATAATGTTTGAGGTGACGAGAGTACCCAAATTGAACAACGTATGTGACATTATATTGGACTTTTTCCAAATTCATATTTGAAAAAGGATGAATCCCGTCCCCAAAGTTCATTCAGGTCTGGTCGGACGGTCATTGAGAGGACGTAACTTACACTTTAATCACAAATTAGTGACAGGGAAGACCGCATGCACCAGGTACTTGCAGAGACCCTATGCTTAACATACTTGTCTTCTAGCGTAATTGACAGAAATTGAATTTGCTTTACTCCCTTTTTTTTCATACTGCCCTATTCCAAATTCATATTTGAAAAATTTCCTGTGGAGGCGTAAATGAGGTGGGGCCGGGTGGGAAATGGGCCCGGATAAGATGAAAACGTGCATTTGTTAACAGACTTGAGGAGGGGTAAGAGGGAACATTATTTTATCAGTGGTATGTACAATGAGACCAAATCATTGAAGTCAGAATTGAGGTGGGTAAATACATTGTACACCGGCCTCTAGGTCGTATTATTAATTACGGAGTACTAAAAAAAGAGTAAAAAAAATAGAGCTAATAATTAAAATACGGAGTATTAAAAATAAAGGTGTTTCCCTGTGGAGAGATGCATGGGGGAGAGAGACAGTGGCGGAGCCAGGGAAGACTTCATGGGGGGCACAAATTTATTTAAAAAACAACAAAAAAATTTCATAATAGTAACAACCTTATTTGGAAAAGTGCAACTAAACATACCTTTTATTTGCTCAACCTTATTTGGAAAAGTGCAACTAAACATACCTTTTAATAGTAACAACCTTATTTGGAAAAGTGCAACTTTCATTGATTCCTTCATGGTCAACAAAGGCTTTTGGACCATCTTTCCAATTGCTAAACCCAACTTCAGTAAAAGCATTTGATCCATTTTTATTTGTATTTGCAAACAAATAACAATGCAAACAATATGCTCTATCCTCGGCAACACTATACTCTAACCACTTAAACTTATCAAACCAAATACTTTGAAACCGTCTTTTTTTGTTTCCTGTCATAGTTTGTGGAAAGTTATGCACCAATGGTCGACAAGGACCTTTTGCTAAGTATCTTCTTCTTATGACATCTCTAATTTCCAACGGATAACTATTGATTGGTTTTCTTAATCCCGGATCAGCAACAATATCATCATTTGAAATCACACTTTCTTTCTCTAGAGATGAAGAATCAGAGAGAGGTACAAAGATTATTGAAGTCATCTGTCTTTTAGTCTCTCCTCAATAATACTCCCTCCGTCCCATGAAATCTTTCTCCTTTCTTTTTTTATCCGTCCCACAAAACACTTCTCATTTCTATTAAAAAGTCACTTTTACCCCTTACTTTTTCATACCCTAACTATCACATCATACCTTTTTACTAATAATCTATCCATCAAATCATACTTTTACTCATCACATCAAAAGACATTTTTGGAAATTCAATACCAAAATACACTCCCTTAAATCTCTCCTAAAAAGCAAAAGTCCCATGTTTCATGGGACGGAGGGAGTATAATTATTCAAATCGTCGTCCCCTCTATCATGTTCTCCTTTGTTTATTTATCCCGGTTTAGTTTTATCACTCAAGAGTAGCTTGGAGCTAGCTAGCAGGGTTACATAGGAATTGAATACACTTCAGGATCGAAGAAGATTAATTAGCATTATTTAGTTTATCAAAAAATGTTTTTTTTTTAAAAAAAACCCATCATATTTGACATAAATTTGAAGTTTGATACCACTTGTTCACAGACACACATGTCAATGATTGTCGATTTGTTCGTTGCTATACACAATTACTGTTCATAAATGTCAAATGTGAAACTAAAAATTTATTACTCCGTTACTTTTTGTAAATGAACCAAGTCAATCAAAATTTGGGTTTGTGATCGTGAAACAAAGAAAGATTATGTATATTTTACCACTTTTAATTTATTGTATGGCTTTGTAGCTCAAAATGGTGAAAATTATATCTTGCTTTTGTGACTAGAGTTTTTCTTTAATTTTATCATGTAAGGAAAAAAAAGTTGAAGAAAGAAGCTAATTAAGGAAAACATGAGTAGGGTATAATGGAGACTTGATGTCCAACAAAGGATGGGTGCATGCAATAATAATCCAGTTTTCAAATGAGTAATTATTAAAACCAAAGCCCATCCATCTTTACACGTTCTTCTATTCTCCCATCCCTCTCTGCTCAGCTCACTCATACACTTCTTGAAACTTCTTTTCTTTTTTTAATTTAATTTATGTTTATATTTAATTTAAGAGATTTAAGGTAAGTGTATTTTGGTATTGAATTCCAAAAAATCTTTTGATGTGATGAGTAAAAGTAGGATTTGATAGGTATATTATTAGTAAAAAGGTATGATGTGATAGGTAGCGTATGAAAAAGTAAGGGGTCAAGTGACTTTTTAATAGAAATAAGAAATATTTTTAGGGACGGATGAAATAAGAAAGAATAAAGGTTTTCAGTAACAGAGCGAATATATTATATACGTACATATGCATGCATGCATCCACTGGTGCATTGCAAGCAAATTAAATTAAGTATAGAGAACAATACTACGGTACATATTATATTGGATATGAGTTTTTAATATATACTCCGTAGTTTCGTATATTCAACAGAACCTGCACACGAGTATGGGTACAGATCCGTTGTTCTACTTATTTAATTAACAAGGATAAAGGACGTGCTGATTTTATAATTGATTAATTTTTAGTTGGCTAAACTCGACTATTGGTCCTTTAACTTTATCAGTTATCCACATTCTGTCTTTCAAGTTTCAAAAGTCCATAAATTGTCCTTCAACTTTACGAGTTATGCATGATTGGTTCTTTGAATTTCAAAAATTCATATGTAGTTCTTCAAGTACACGTCAAGCCTTCAGATGAGGTCCTTTTGACAGTAAACGTTAAAAGGTAAATGAAATACGAGCTCCATATAATACAGAGTACTTGTAGCTAGTGGAATTTACTCGTATTATATGGAACTAGTACTTCATTTAGCTTTTAATATTTACTGCCAAAACGACTTCATCTGGAGGGCTGACGTGTACCTGAAGGACTACTTATGAACTTTTGAAACTTGAAGGATCAATCGCGCACAACTCATAAAGTTGAAGGGCTATTTACGGACTTTTGAAACTTGAAGGACCAATCGTGCACAACTCATAAAGTTGAAGGATCAATGGTGGATTATAGCCTTTTTAATACTTCATATTTAATTAAGATTTAGACGTTAAAATTAGTGTATACACATATGTCAAGGAACTAATGTTTTTCAAAATTGGATGACGATTATGTTTGAACTTTTGATCTCTGTGTGAGAGGATTCTGATACGATATCATAAATCAGCTCAACCAAAAAGTCAAAGGTTTGTGATAAAACTATATTAAGAGATGAAAAAGTCAAGTTTTGGGTTGGCCCATGTAAGGGTTTTTACTCTAAGACTATATTAAGAGATGAAAAATTTGTTCTATATAGAACTAAAAGGTAGTACGATCAAGTATGTTTTATTCTCTTTATGACATATATTTCTGTATGATCTGTCATATATGCCCTTAGTAGCAACAAGTATTGGATAATGACTGATTATATGAATGACTCTACATACGATAGTGGTCATTATCAATAAGTGTTGAATAATGACTAATTGTTTCAAACACTGTTCAAATTATTTTTAATAATGTTTTATTCTACTTGAATTGTGTAGTAGGTCATTCTTCTCAAAGGCATGACATTTTAGAATTTTTCATTGTCAAACACTAAGGCAAATCGGATTAGTCCTATTTAAATCGCATTTGCATAAATTACCCTATTAAGATTAAGCATGTACTTCCTCCGTCATTGAA